CTGTAGTTCACTGCTACTAACAAGCAGAATTTTTTTTTTCTCCTGAATATGGCCATGTTGGCCGAAACTAGTCGAGGAATCTAATTGAAATAATAAAAACGAAAAAATATTAATATACAACCCAGTGTGGCTGAAGATTATAATTTTTTAATATTTTTTATTGTTCAAAACATATATATTTTATTTGCAGCAGAATAATAACATTATCGATATTATATTATTTGCAGCAGAATAGAAACATTATCGATATGGTTTAGGGGGTTACTAAATGAGATTGTTGTAAGGGCGAATAGAAAGTGAGCAAGGATTACACATTATGAGGATGTGTAGGATAAATGTTGGTTAGCTCTCGGCTTGAAGACGTTAAGATTGTAATGATTAGGTAATCAAAGAAGGTTAGCATTATTTGTATTAGGGGTTGTAGAGGGGAAAACAATTAATCGCCTACAAGACCACGGAAACGTTTTGAACACTACTTAGACTGAAAAATTAAAATTCGGAAGCTCCAGTTTGGTCTGTTTTTTTTTGGTCTAATAGAGAGATCATGTACCTTCTAAGGCGGTAAAGATAACTGGTCATTTTTACAGCGTCTTTAGCGATGGGTCGTATGTAGGAGTTCCACTTTAGACCTACTCTATGAACGTGCAACCATTAATCATGATTAGAGAAAACGCTGTTCTGTGGTGATGAAACGTTACTAGTTTGGTTTTCGGAGATATTGAATGTTAAAAAGCCAGTTCCTCATGTTGAACTGCGTGTACAATATCAGAGGAGAGATCAGATTCCAGGTTCTGGTCATCAGGATTTCGGGTGGTGCTGCCATAAGTAGTGATGTCATCTGAACATATCGTCGTGAGCTGAGTTTTCTTATGTCAGCGAGTGTAAACTATTAAAAGTTAATTAAAACTGTGTTCCAAAGTTTTTAAACGATGTTACTTCAAAAATGTTTATTTTCCATTATAAATGATGGAAAATAAACATTTAAAATAATTTAATAGGACAATTCAAAAACTATTATTTTTTCATGTCCTCCAACCCCGCTCGCTGATCAATTCTTGTTTTCTCTAAATGAAAATATCAAGCAGAAAACTATTGATTATACGTCTTTTTCATCGAGGGTACAAGCGAGTTTTGACACACGTGAAGCGATTGAAGTAGCTGTGTCTCTCTTGTTTTCCATCTTTCTACATCCTTTGCACTCTCGTAATTTCACCTCACATCTCAAGCGAGATTGACAGATAGAGGCTTCACTTTACTGAGACACCTATCTCTTTTATATCTCAATTTTTTTCCTTTATTTTTAACTCATTCGAGGTTGATCGTTCCAGTCAGCACTAATCTCATTAATTTTCATGATCACTGCGTTTCTTGGGGTCGAAACTATTATTATTATTATTATTATTATTATTATTATTATTATTATTATTTGTGTATGTTATGTTTCCTGCTTTGTATCCTGTAGAGTCGGGTCCAAAGGAAAATTGTCATTTAATTGATAGATTTTCCTTAGGCCCAGAACTCCGATTACTATTGATACAGTCTCAGTCTTCATTCCCCACATCCTGTTAATCTCGATCTCCAGGTCCTTGTATTTGGACAATTTCTCGATAATTTTCATGCAGGTTTTTCTCTCAGATAGTACTGCTATGTCAATAAGTATACACTTCCTGAATTCCTTGTCTTTTTATGATAATATCAGGTTTGCTGGCTTTTATTTACCTGTTAGTTTGAACTGGCATCTCCCAAAGGATAGTTTATTATTATTATTATTATTATTATTATTATTATTATTATAATCTTTTGTAAAAAAAACAATAAAAAAACGCATAATATAATTTTACATAGATAAAGCTCTTCGTGATGTGTGAGCTGTATTTCTGAGTACAATGTTTTGTACTTCTTTAAGGCATGGGCTTCCAGGAATCCCTTCAATGAATCTATTGAAACCTTTACCAATCAATTCCATGGATCCACCTACAACTGGAATTGTTGATGTCCTCATGTGCTTAAGATTTTCGCTTTAAGACCCTAGTTTTTTTATAGTTTTTTGAAGATCTTCAAAGATACATTACAATCTGCAGGAACTGCCATGTCAATAAAACAGCAAATTCTGTTTTTGATCATAATATCTCGGCGATTAGCTTTGATTGTTCTATTTGTGGGTATTGTAAAGTCATATAAATATCTCTGTAACCGGGTCTGGTTGATGCTCATACCAGTTTCTTGCAGTTTCCTTCCCGTAAAAGTTGCATAATTTTCCAGTACAGATGTTGGCCCACTCTTTCATGCCTAGTTTTACATTCAGTTGATGCTAACATTATGTAACCTGATAAAAGATGGTCAATTGTTTCTGGATATTTATCACAGAATCTGCATTTTGGGTTAATACAGGTTTTCAATATGTGTTTTTTAGTTAGCAAGCATTGGACCTGTGCATCAAGAATAAACCCTTCGGTTTCAGCTTATAACCCTGCACTACGTAACCACTGATGATTACGGGGTTTGTCTACGTTAGCTTGTTTGGTATGAACATAGTGTTGACTATGAAGAAGCGTATCTTTCCATGTTTCTGCATTTGGTAAATTGCATTTGCTTTTGCTTTCTTTTTTAGATTCTTTGCAACCTCAGCATGTGTATTATGTTTTACTTACAATTCTTCACCCACTTGAAATTCCCCTTTGAATTTGTTGGTTTTCTTTATTACGGAATAAAGTTCCTTATTTCTTTCATGTTATTTGACATAGATCATCATTCAGCCTTCTGTAGTTTACAGGTATCTTTGAAGACAGATTTTTATGATTTTGTAAGACATTTCTAGCTGGACTAACCCTCTGCCCCCTTCGAATCTCGTCACATACAGACGATCAACATCAGCCATTAGGATGATGCATGCAGTGGTAAGTGAGAAGCTTTCTCGTTTTGATACCCATTCGTTTAAGGTTGGCTATGGTCCACTTAAGTATGTTGAAACTGTATTTCACCACAGAGACAGCCAGAGTGTTTATGACTGATATTCTATCTTGTAAATTCAACTCGGTATTCAAGACCAAACGCGCACGTTTGTAGTATTCTTTTATTACTTTCTCCTTCAGTTGGGTATGCTGCATTCCATTGTCGTTTTTGGCAAAAAAAAAGTTTGATATCAGCCATGTAAAATAGATGATTAAACTCTTTCTTTTTTTACTTTGTATTCATAGTTCCTACTGTTTAGTTCATGCGAAAAGGGGAGATTAATAACAGACAGGATAGAAGGGGCGACAGGAAGTCTCCTTGAATGATTCCTTTTCGAATATTCAAACAAGTGGATGCGGCAGTATTTTTGGTGTTGTTTAGGGATAATGTGGTTTTCCACAGTTTCATGCTATATTTAAGGAAATTTACTATCACTTATTATTATTGTCATCATCATCATCATTCGATTTCTGCTATGGACACACTACCTACTTCAGTCTGCGGAAAGACCTATTCCAGGTCGTGGTGTTTGTTAAAAAATTTCATGTTAATTTTTTTTTTTTTTTTTTTTTTTTTTATCTCCGATGAAGTTGCTAGCGTTACATAGACAAAGTTCTCCTTAGTGTGTGTGCTGTAAATAAGACAATTTTCTGTATGTCTCTTAAGCTGGGGTTTCCAGGGATTCTTTCAATGTGTTGTTTTGTTCCATTTTTTATAATTCCAAGTGCACCTATTACCACTGGTATTATTCTTGTTTTCAATTTCCACATTTTTTCTATTATTATTATTATTATTATTATTATTATTATTATTATTATTATTATTATTCCCAAATAACTCCGAAATGTATGTTACGTCCTACAGGCTACTTTAATTTTTATATTTCTTTTTTTTAAGTCAAAATTAAAAACCTCCTATCAATTGCAGTGTCTACGGTACCGACAAATATATAATATTTACTTACATATAACTCAATGCACAGCCTAAACAGGTATACTATTCAGTGTATATAAGCAATGAAAAATGCCCTCGCATCTTATAAGCAAAGGTAAAATATTTCATTCTTTACTGTAGATTAATTTCATATTTAGAACACAGAGTGACTTTAGTCAGTTTATTTTGTATTTGTTATAAAAACAAATACGTCTTATATCTTAATATTAAATTTTCACTTATGTGCCGTTATATATTGCCATTACCGGACAATACGCTGCACATTCTGTGAAAATTCTTGGACAGCTGCCTCTCGCATTTCGCACAGTTCTCTTCCATCTTATCTGATCGATCGCATATCCAAAATACCAGTGCACCAAGCGTAACCTTATCTTCGCACATGCATCTTATGAACCGATACAGTAACTTGATCAAATATTAACGCAACTTTTGCTCAAAAAGAAGTTTTCCTATCGCAGATAAAAGCCTTGGATTTGAAATATGTGACCAGGAAAAAATAATCATTTGTTAAACTTTATCTTATAAGGACGACGTTGGATGACGATAAAACGAAGCAACCGTGAACGCCCAAATATGTTGAAACAGTTGTAATTTACTTTGGTCTACTTGCAAGAACTTCAGCTAATCAGACGAGAGCGTTCACGGAAATGTCTGCGACTAGCAGTGTGCAGCGTTCCTAGCTTTGTAACTGAAAAGGTCATCTAATGTTAATAAGTACCAGCTTGCGTTAGGCTGTCGAAAATAGAAAAGGCAAAGAAAAAATAGGAAACAAAGCAAAGCAAGATTAATGGTGGAAATAGGGAGACGACATGCGAAAAGAAAGAAGAGGAAGGCATAAAGTTATGGAAAGAAAAATTAATAACAAAAAAAGGAAGTAAAAGACAGAGTGAGGGAAAGAAATAATTTTAGTGAGTAATTTTAAATAAATCATGTAGTAATTCGAAAATGTGGGTCCGAGAGAGGAGCCCATCGCTGTACATCAATCTGTCAATAAATGCTGGCATTATGATAATAATATTCAATAAAAGCATATCCAATAAAATCTGTACATATAATTTACCTTATATGTATGTATGTGATGTGTGTGTCTATACTCATTATAGATAGATAGATAGATAGATAGATAGATAGATAGATAGATAGATAGATAGAAGTGTAAATGTAAACTAAATAACGAGAGATTGGCATCTGTATATGAGTGCAATAGCTTGCGTACGCAGATACGTAAGTAAATATTTATTTAATTTAATTTATGGTGCAAATAAAACAGTGCTCAATGTAGTTAAACAGAGCTATGAAGTTGTTATGGTGACCTATCTCCATTAGAATGAACTCTTCCTCCTACATAAATACTAACCTGTGAGACTTCCTAAGGCGGCTGTCAGGACGCAGTGTAACCTAACAGTTCGGACGGACACTTCTATTTGCTGACTAATTTGCCCCTAACCCATGTTACAGATGTGCGGCCTTACATTGGTACAAAGATTGTATGTTCCGGAATAAAAAATGTTATATATTCGAGGGAGAATTGATTGCTAATAAAACTTTCAACGGGAAGACTCTTAAATTAAAATTGTTCGTCCTGAAAAATACTAACAACATATTTGGCACTGATTGGATGACACAATTCCAGCTTTGGGACTTGACTATAAATTCATACTGGCAAAAAATTGAAAATTGGAATGCCGAAGCTGAAAAACTGAAAAAAGAACTGAAGGAAGCCAATCCAGAAATTTTTTCTGGTGGGTTAGGCCAAGATGATGGCAAAAGTTGAACTACAAGACAACGTCCAGCCAGTGTTCAAAAAGAAGCGAAATGTGCCTTTTACCTCGTTGGAAAAAATTAACAAGGAACTTGACAGATTAGTAAAAATTGGAGTTCTATCAAAGGTAGAGTATAGCGAATGGTCCGCACCAGCGCTCTATGCAAAAAAGAAATCGAAAGACATACGCGTTTGCGCTGATTTTTCGACAGGATTAAATGCTGTTCTGAAGGACTATCATTATCCTCTTCCTTGCCCAGAATACATTTTTACTAAGCTAAATGCAGAGAAAATTTTCTCGAAAACTGACCTTAGCGACGCTTACTTGCAAATTCCGGTTGAAGAGATGAGGTGGAAGCTATTGTGTATAAATACGCATCGCGGATTATATAAATTCGAACGTTTGCCATTCGGGGTCAAGGTCGCGCCAGCAATTTTTCAGCAAGTCATGGAATACTATGCTGAGCAGCCTTGACTTCTCTGTGGCTTTTTTAGATGACATTCTGATGAAAACCAAAGCTTAGTCGAACATAAGGATCACGTCCATAAAGTTTTTGCTAAGATTCAAGATTACGGTTTCAAACTTAAAGATTTTTTCATGGAAAAAGTCAAAATACCTGGGACACATAATCGACAAGGATGTCAGGAGACCAAATCCTGAACGGACTGCCGCGATTAAAGATATGCCGGCGCCCAATAACATTGTTTCATTGCATAGCTTCCTTGGCCTAGCAAATTATTACCAGGCATTCATACCAAATATGCATAATTTGCGTGTTCCCCTTAATGAACTATTAAAGAAAGACAACCTCTGGGTTTGGACAGCAGAATGCCAGGAGGCATTCGAAAAAAGAAAGAAAACATCGACGTCAGACTTCTTTCTTACACATTACGACCCTGACTTAGAAATCATTGTTGCTAGCGACGCTAGTTCGTATGGTGTAGGGGCATACATTCTTCACAAAATAACTGATGGAACAGTAAAACCGATAACTCACGCGTCGAGAGCTTTGCTGCCTGTAGAAAAAAAAATTATTCGCAGTTTGAAAAAGAGGCGCTTGGGATTATATTCGCAATCGCGAAGTTCCACCACTATATTTAGGGTCGATATTTCACTCTACAGACAGACCACAAGCCATTACTCACTGTTCTTGGCTCAAAGAAAGGTCCGCCTACTCACACAGCCAACAGACTGCAGAGATGAAGTAAAATCCTGCTAAATTACAACTTTAAAATGGAGTACGTGTCATCAAAAAAAAAATTTGACCATGGGACGGATTGCCAAGAACCACTGGAATATACAGTGCTCGTCTCCCTTCAATCTGAAGGAGAATTAAAAACAACTCTTTGTAATACAGTAAGGGAACTTGAACAAATAAGACAAGAGGCTCTCCACGATGAATATATCAAGCAAATAAAAGCGAAAATTTTTGAAAAGGAGCAGCGAACTACGGACGTTTTCTCTATATGCGACGAGTTGTTACTATGCAGGGAACGCGACGTGATTCCCTCAACACTCCAGAAGCGTATTTTGAAAGACCTTCACGCTGGCTATCTAGGGAGTACTAACATGAAAAGTTTGATGCGTAGCTGTGTCTATTGGCAAAGCATGGACAAAGATATAGAAAACGCTATCAAATCATGTAAAGGCTGTGCCTTGGCAGCGAAGGCACCTCCTATTAAATTCAATCCCTGGTCAAAAAACGGATCTACTTTGGACTAGAATTCACATTTACTAGAAGGATATTACTACTTCATTGTAGTCGACAGTTTCTCGAAATGGCCCGAAGTACACATATACAAAAACCCAACTACAGAAATTACTGTAAAAATTTCTACATGAGCTAATCGCCAGATTTGGAGTAGTGGACACCTTAGTATCCGATAATGGAAATCAGTTTACGTCTGGAGAATTTAGAGACTTCTGTGAAACATATCAGATCGAAAACATTACTACCGCTGAGAGATTTGTGGATACTTTGAAGAGAACTTTGAAAAATCTAGGGCTACACCAACAGAAAAAGCCCTTCAACAATTTCTTCGTATACATAATTACACCTAATAACAAAACACCAACTTCGCAATCTCCAGCCGAGGTGATGTTCGCACGTCGGATACGGTCCGTTTGCGATAAATTACTCCCGAAACAGACGAAGCCAGGAAGAACAACAAACATCGTACCTACAAGGTGATATAACTCCGGAGATAATTTTTTTTCAGAACTTTCAAATACAACAAATCTTTTTGGGAGATGTGTACAATCGAAAAAAGAGTTGGAAACATGGTATATATATATATATATATATATATATATATATATTCCGACCCCCCCTCTAGCGGACCCCGAAATGCGCCGTTCTATGAGAAAAAGGAAAAGAACTGATTTAATAGTTGTCAATCTTAAACGTAAAAGGTATTGAGACCACAAACAAATAAAAGTTCTCTAAGTTGTCCTATTTTGAACTTCGTAAAACAAGTCAGCCAAGTTCTAAATACCTAACCAATTATAAAAAAGGAAATGCTTGTTTTCTCTATAAATTAAACGAGTCAAGCGGAGGAAAACCATTCAAAAGTTGGTAAAATTTCTATAAAAATATTCCTCAGGAATAAATTTTGTGGAATTTTATTGCAACTACATATACAGCCTCAGAATTTTAATATAAAAAAGGAAAAAATAATTTTTCTTCAGACTCCTGTGGAGTTAAGATTTTAGGAGTGGTGTTATGGTGACCTATCTACATTAGAATGAACTCTCCCTCCTTCATAATACTAACCTGCGAGACTTCCTAAGAGGCAGTCTCCACGCAGTGAGTCAGCGTTTAAGTCCTTACTAGACCTAATACGACCGTTTTTTCTACCACGTTTGGATATTCGATTTTTGTTCCACAAACTCAGTTTAGTTAAGTTCTGATTTATTTTACCTTCTTTTTACGTTTTCTTTTGCTGACTTTTGTCTGACAAAGTTTTTTGATTTTTTTTCTTTTTTTAAATTATTACCCTCCTCGTTTTTATTTTCCCCTTTATTTTGATCTTATTTTATTATTATTAGTTTTTTATTTTCTTTTATTTTTAAGTTCTTTTGGATCTATTTTTCCCGTTATTAATTTACTGTAACGTTTTTTATTTTCGTATTTCATTAATCGGGTGACTTTTCAACGGCAGCCATCTTCGATTTTTTTAAGTTTACACGTATTGGTTGTTTCGTATTTCTGCTTGTAAATTATCCTTTTTATTTCTATATTAATTATTGTTTAACGTGTTTCATTCTTGTTTGCCTTAGTTTGTGTATTTTTTCGTGTTTTTGCTTGTATAAGAGTTGTAATTGTTATCTGTATTATTTTGTGTATGACTAACTTTTCGTCTATTTTTATTTTGTTTTGTTTGTGACCACTTGTTCAAATCTGTGTTAATTGACGGAAAAGTATTCTGTCTTTTGTTTCTGTTAAAAAAAACTACTAATTTTCATTTATTAAAAAAATAGTCTGTAAAAATCTTTTCGGGACCAAAAAGGAAAAAAAAAGATCCACCTGATAAGGAAAAATAGAATAAACAGCAAGATGTTATGGAGAAATTAGTCACTGACGAAAAGACCCAACAGCATGAGGTTGTTCCCGATGTTAATAGTTCCAGTGAATGTATGGTAGCTGGAAAGTCCCAAAATACTGGAAACGCGACGAAACTCGACGAAGCTATGGAGGCCAAATAAAACAAATAAAGTTGAAGATGACAAAACTAATGACGAAAGTGTAGTGGTCGGAGAGACGCCCTCCTATTGGAAGTGTTCAATCAACATCACGGAGTTCCTCGAGAAAGCCAAAGGTTACGCACATCTGGTAACAGCAGATGGGCTTTTGGTCAATCCCGAGGAATTCAAGAGCGTTGAAAAAACAATTGTGTCAGTCCTTGTGGTGGACAAGCGTTCGCGCAACATTTGTCGCTCCACCAAAGATACCGTCATTAAATCACTAATTTCTATGGGGATCAAACCCCAGAAGGTGTTCAAAGGAAAGGGATTTTTCATGTAGGATGTTCTGCTACCCACACCTGCCGACTGTGAAGCCGCTTCCAGTCGCGATCTCATAACTAAAGAACTTATTCTGCGTACAAAATATCAAGGCAGGGGGAGGACCAAAATATCAGTATTTGAGTATTTGGCCGCTTATCTGTCCCAATTTGGGCAGATACTCAGTGACGATACTCTGACGATTTGACCGGGGGATGGAGTTTCGAAATCATGATAGAGCGAAAAGCCTTCATCTCCATCCCCAACTGTCTGGATGTAGCGGGCCAGAATATGCCACTTATAGTCACCATGCGTAGACCGACATGCTGGAAGTGTGGAAAGACTGGTCACCTGTTCTCTTCCTGCGTAAAGAAGAAGGCCTCTGAGATTCTGGCCATTGTCGACCTAAATCCCCCTGCGACT